ACACTGAGTTCATACGTTGTTGGTTCAGTCTAATAAAAGGTTTTTAAAAGAAGAATGATATGTGCACTTGCGATGCCGCTGTGATCTGTAGGTTTGCTGGAGAATGCCTGTGTGCCAGAAAGGTGCAGTGTTGCATTCCTTCAGTGGTGTTATAGAGTCCAAAGTGCAAGAGTGACCATTTAATGGAATTATCCTGCAGTTGAACCTTTCTTAAAGGTCGTTCTGGATCAGTTCAAGCGTAGTATTTCCAAACATAATGGGGATTTGGTCTGTGTGCTTTTTAGCAACACATGATCAATCTTTCTAGTACAGACAACAATGTTGATCTATGAACAATGACTGAAAATGCTGTATTTCTCATGCCAGGCCGGCAGTGCTGGGCGATTTGGCCTAAAATCAAAATCTCGATTAATTGAAAGTTTTAGATCAATTAAGATTATTCAGTCATTAATTTTCTCGTCGGCTTAGTCCCTTTATTAATTCAGGGTCGCCACAGCGGAATGAACCGCCAACTTATCCAGCACGTTTTTACATAGCGGATGCCCTTCCAGCAGCAACTGATCTCTGGGAAACATCCACACACACTCATTCACACTTTTAGCGTACCCAATTCACCTGTACCGCATGTCTTTGGACTGTGGGGGAAACCGGAACACCCGACGGAAACTCAGCCGAACGCAGGGGCAACATGCAAACTCCACACAGAATCAATGTGGTTTGTTTAAATTGCACCCATACTAATAGTTTGTAACCACTTAGTTAATCCAATGAATCCTTTTGTCAGTGCACTGCTGTGGAACTAACAGTGATGAACTGCACTGCATGTTTAAGTTAAGATCTTTTAACATGACACGGCATCTTAAAACAGGGCGCTCATGTGCATGGGCTTTGAAGAATGTGAGATGCAAGTAGAGGTCTGCATTCCCGCGGGAGCCACGGGACCCAACCAGATTTCTGCGGCGTGGGAATAAATTTCCGAATAAAGCGCGGGAGCGATCGGTAACTGGTTTAATATGGGACGGGAGCGGGCTATCTAGCAATATCGCGCCCGACTCCCGAGCGCCACGCGTATGTATTAGGGGTGTCAAAATTAATTGTTTCTTCGATGCACTGCGATGCAGACGCGGACAATTCGGTATCGGTTCAGTAATAATCATAACCGCTTATTATTGACGTCATTTACCTCATATGCGCTCTGTCGCGAGGGAGACGATCGCGAGTATTTACAACGCTCTAACTACTTAATACTCATGAACTGTGCACAATTTCACTGTGTGAGTTTGAGAATGAAAGTAGCCTACTCCATTTCTCTCTCTCTCTCTCTCGCTCGCTTGCTCTCGCTCTGTCTCTGTCTCTCTCTCTGTCTCACACACACACAGTGGCCCATTTGACCTGCTGGCGTGGCTTTTCTTCTCCTCTCGGCTGTTTTACAGCGTTACTTTTGGATACAGAAACGAGCGCGTGTCTGCAGAGTTTTCTCCACCGTGTCTATCATACATCAGCTGTGAGATCGCCGCTGCCGCTTATCATTTATCTGAAGAGCATTCTGATCTCAAGAGCCAATCAATCCCAATCAAAGAGGTGTAAGAGAACTAGACAATATCAGCAATTGAGCTGGATATTTATATTTGTTTATATTATTTGCTTAATGCTTGTTTTTTTTCAAAGTTACAGTTTATATATCTGACTGTTTGTATTAAATGACACAATTGTATTACAAATAACAACCTATATAAATATAAATATATTCATACATTTTAATACAAGAGCAGCTGCTGTGAAAAAAATATAAAAGCATCGTCAATACACCGTGATGCACCAAAATATCGAATTGAACCGAATCGATGGCATGATAATCGTAACCGAACCGAACCGTGAGACTAGTGTAGGTTCACAGCTCTAGTATGTATGTGTGTAAATGAAATAGCGCGATGCTGTGTTTAGCTTGTTTGTTGCTGTGTGTATGTGTGTTTGTGTGTATGCGCGCACGAATGATAGAGAGAGAGCTTTGTCGGTGCTTGGTGCTTATGTGTGTGTGTGTTAGTGCGCGCGAATTAGAGAGAGAGAGAGATTTTTCTGTGTGTGTGTGCTTGGTGCTATGTGTGTGTGTGTTTTTACAGACCGCTTGTTATAGGCTGTCTGTACTCTGGGTGGTTTTCGGTTTTGTTCTCCCCATGCTCTTTCCAGCCGGATCTAGCGGGATCGGGCGCGGCGGGTAGAAAACGGGGCGGGTCGGGCAGCGGGACAACAAATGCTTAATATAAGCGGGAGCGGTCGGGTTCGGGCTAAAACCTGGTGGGTGCGGGCGGTCCCGCGCAGATCTCTAGATGCAAGCGTAAAGGTTCACTCACTTTTTAAAGAAACATCAACTAATTGCTTTTAACAGTGTGTTATTAGATATAGCCATTTGATTGAATATTGCACTGCAAAGTCTATAACTAAGCAATTGAGAAGCTGCATGTGGGATAGTGAACATATTGCATGTTAACAGATTTTTGGTAACACTTTATTTTAAGGTACAATTCTCGGTATTAATAAACCATTAACTATGACGTTTAGCTTAATAAACTTCTAATTTGCTGTTTATTAATAGTTATTAGGGAAGTAGTTTGGGATTAGGTATTGAGTAGGATTGGGGACTTAGAATAAAATCATGCAGAATATGTACTTAAGTATTATTAAAACAGGCAATATATTGATGATACACAGGTAATAAGCCGCTATAGTTGATGTGAAATCTTGACACTTAGGCGGCACGGTGCTCAGTTTCCCCAACAGTCCAAAGTCATGCTGTGCAGATGAATTGGATCTAAATTGACTAGTGTATCAGTGTGTGTTAATGTGAGTGTGTATGAATGTTTCCAGCCGCACATCCCTTTTTAGCTGCATAAAACATGCAGGAATAGGTGGCGGTTCATTCCACTGTGGTGATCTCTAATAAATAAGGGACTAAGCTGAAGGAAAATCAATATATGAATGAATGCACTTGGCACTGAGTGTGTGGACTAAAATCCTGCAACACTTTGTTTCATGTTAAGATTAAAATCCTCTAATGCATGACAATCCGTCACTTATCACTTACAATCTTTTCCCTGCTAAAGCGTAATGTCAGTATTCTGCTACTGTTTTGAGTATTCTCGTCTCCACATGCAAGTCTGTTTTGTCATTGTACGGTACAGTACATACCCAAGGGTTATAGTTGGGTTATAAATTGGCTTAACCGACCCATTTAATGAAGCGTCTATTAATGTTTACGGTCTCTGTAAATCTAAAGCTAGTGAAGTGCGGAAAAGCCCGCTGACCTGTTTGCCCTGGATGTTGAAGTGAGTCAGGAGTGGAATATAATTGGTCTGCAATTATGAAATCCAGATCAAACAAGATGTTAACGTTTAAACCAGAATGGGTGGAGGAATTTCTTTTAAAGTCCTCGTTAAATAAGCAGCTGCTTATGTACCTGTAGATCTGTGATTATTGGGATTTGACATATTTGCAGACACAATTATTTAATCTCCTGTGATTTTTTTTTTTTATTTTATTTTTTTTTTGGAAATTTTTTTTTTTTTTTTGTATTTCTTCTTTTAAATATTTCCCAATAAACAGAGCAAGACATTTTTTACAGTATTTCCTATGTTTTTTTTTTTTTCTGGAGAAAATCTTTTTTTATTTTGGCTACTATATATATATATATATATATATATATATATATATATATATAATTTTTTTTTCCCCCCAGATAGTCTAGAGAACAAACCATCATTATACAATAATTTACCTAAGTACCCTAACCTGCCTGATTAACCTTGTTAGGCCTTTAAATGTCACTTTAAGCTGAATACTAGTGTTGAAAAATATCCAGTAAAAGATTATGTACTGTCATCAAGGCAAAGATCAAATATTATTTATTAGAAATAAGTTAGTTAAAACTATTAATGGGTTGAAAATAAATTTACGTTAAAGAAAAATTGGGGGAAGAAAATACAGAAGGACTAATAATTTGAGTAGGCTCCGACTGCAGACTGCAAGACATTGGCGTAACATGAAAGGGCGTAACTTGTAGTATAAGTGTAACTAAGTTATGGAGACCAACATTTCAAAACTATGTTGTTAGAAATATGGCGCTGTACATCAGTTATTAACATCTAAATCTACTCCACACCTAAACCCAACCATCACAGTTATTAAACAGTTATCACAGTTATCACAGTTATTAAACCCAACCTTATATCACAGTTATTAACGTGTACACCTACCCCAACCCTAAACCCAACCATCACAGTTTTTAACGTCTACACCTTCCCCAACCCTAAACCCAACCATCACAGTTATTAACGTCTACACCTTCCCCAACCCTAAACCCAACCATCACAGTTATTAACCTGTACACCTACCCCAACCCTAAACCCAACCATCACAGTTATTAACGTGTACACCTACCCCAACCCTAAACCCAACCATCACAGTTATTAACGTCTTCACCTACCCCAACCCTGAACCCAACCATCACAGTTATTAACGTCTACACCTTCCCCAACCCTAAACCCAACCATCACAGTTAATAACGTCTACACCTTCCCCAACCCTAAACCCAACCATCACAGTTATTAACGTCTACACCTTCCCCAACCCTAAATTAATTAATATAATATTATAACAAATGAATTGTTTGTGGATAAAATTAGATAAAACTAATGAAAACATTTGGTGAAAATGTTCTCTGGTAAGTAATTCCACCACCTTGCCAACAACATTTCGTTTTGACATCTCGTATGGTTCATTTGGGATCCCGATAACTGCAAGTTACACATTTAACTTCATGTTACGTCCCTGTCTTGCAGTCCGCTGAAAGATACTTAAATAATTCTGACTTCAACTGTAAATAAGGCCCTTTTAACCTTTGGTTCTCTGCAATTTACATAGTTTTGCTTTCCACATACTGAACACAAAAATCCAATAATATGCATGTTTTTCAATAGACTTGGTGCTTATATTGGAAACTCATTGTTAGACTGTATCTCAGGTTTATTAGGAGTAAAATAAACACAAAGACTAATATAGCTTAATACAAGTATCCCTTTTTTAAACCCAAGAAGAACAAGAACAAACACCCAAATTCTGCCTGTGCATTTCATTTCAGCTCTGAAGATCTTCTGGGCAATTGTTTGTTATCTGCTTCAGACATGGAGCTTCATCCATCATCAACAAAAATATGTCTTTAATAAATACAGCAGGCTAGCTGGCATTTCCTCCAAGTTCTATATATATGAAATGGATTTGTGTATACTCAATCCAGAAATCCACAAAAACACCACCACCAAATATCAACAATCTATCAAGTTGTAACAGCAAAAGTGGTCCAAATGTTTTTTTTTCAGTCATGCTGAACAAAATGATGAGCAAATATAATACATATTTACATGAAAGATATTTACATAAATGATAACAATATGGCAATGTAGTTTCTTTGTGTGTGCACCAGAGAGTGTTTGATCTAGGCTTAGTCAACAATAACTTTATAAATAAACTCCATTTAAACACAGTACTGTTTGTATGCAGGAATGTCTTCAGTTGGACAACGCTGGCTTTTAGATGGACTGGCTGATCACTTGTGGTCCCGGATGGTGGTTTTCAGGTTTGGCGCAGTGCTCGGCATCCAAACCAATAGACTGAAAAGCAAGAGGTAGGTGTCAGATTTAGAAAACAGAAGAAAGTGTTTAGCCTGAAGCAGCTTTTCTGAGAGTTTTATTGTTCAAAATGCATTTAAGATGTAATCAGAGCATTTCTTTTCCTTCAGATGTCAGTTTAAAGGGGATTTACCTTAAGCGTTGAACAGGTTATTGGTATTTTTTGCATGAATCTACTTGCGGTATAAGTCATAAGTGACAAATATTGTTTCTCCAACATTCAAATTTTCCAGGTTCTGCAGTATTCCAAATGTATTCTAATTAGAATGTTCAACAGAATCATGTGCAGTTCGTAACTATTTTACACTTTGGCGAATTGGCTTATTTTTTTATTTATTATTATTATTATTTTTAAATGCAAGCAGATGAGGTTGAACAAAATGATACGAATCCGTCACTAATTCGCCAAAACTTAGATAGATTTTTCCATGCAGTGGGTTGGACTGTGTGGAATGTTGTTTCTCCAACATTCAAACTTCCATGTTTATCAATATTCTAATCATGCTGTAAAAAAGGTTACTCATCCTAATATTGTAAAGCAACTTGCTGCCTTTTAGTTGACTCGACTTAAAGGAGACCTATTATGTCACTTCTTACATGATGTAAAATAAGTCTCTGATGTCCCAAGTGTGTGTATATGTGTGTGTTTAAGTTTCAGCTCAAATTATCCCATAAAAATGTTTTATAACTCTTTGAAACTGCCCCTTTTATGCTTTGATCTAAATGATGCCATTTTGGTGACTGTCGCTTTAAATTTAAGTGAGATTGTGCTCCCAGTCCTATTTTGAAACAAGGGCGGAGCTAAAAATGCCTATGCAACAGCATAGCAGCAGATTCAAAACAGCTGCTCCTCACTAAGGGCTGTATATGCTAATGAAGGAGAGATATTCACTAATGGGCTGGGCTTTCTCTGTTGACATATACAATGGGAGAATGTCAATTAAAGTGCTTCTGCAGGCGGTTTTTATAAAGTGTGATATAAAATATTAGAGGTTGGCTGTATTCACAGACTGTAGCCATGCAACGGTTTAAACACATAAAAGTGTTTTTTTTTTTTTTTTGCTTAAAAGAACCACTTTAAATCAAGTCAAGAGCAGTACTTGGGCTAAAAGTTGTCAACTTTTAAACTTTCTTGTCAACAAAAAAGCTGTGTAAGTTGCCTTACGATTTTAAGTAGAGACAACTTAAAAAAATGTGTAGATTATTCAACAAAATTATTTGGCAGTATTTTAAGTTTTGGTGACCTGGTGTCTTTTATTTTAAATTTTTTTTTCAATGCAACTTAAAACTATTGCAACTAGCGGCAGAGCTTTTTTATTTATTTATTTATTTTTATTTTTTTTAGCTGACTCCACTTAAAGGGGATCTATTTACATGATGTACAAAAAAAAAAGTCTCTGATGTCCCTCGAGTGTGTATGTGAAGTTTCAGCTGAAAATACTCTAAGTATTAGAGTATAAGTAATTTTTTTAAAAGTTGAGTCAACAAATTTTCAATTATTATTTTTTTTTAAGTGCAGAATATTCGACAAAATCATTTGGCAATTGTTAACTAGTTTGTATTTTGACGTCTTTGGTGTCTTTTTTCTTTTTTTAAATGTATACAAATGGGGCTGTTAGAAATTATACAAATCAGTCACTTATTCACCAATATTTTTAAATTGATAATTTTTTTCCCCCCATGCAATAAGGTTGAACTGTTTAGGAATGTTATTTCTCCAACTTTCAGACTTCCATGTTTCTAAATATTTTAATTATACTGTAAAGAAAACTTGTCCCAACTTAATTGTAAGGCTGCAGAGCTTTTTAGTTGACTCGACTTAAAGGAGACCTGTTAAGTCCCTTTTTACAAGATGTAAAATAAGTCTCTGATGTCCCAAGAGTGTGTATGTGAAGTTTCAGCTCAAAATATCACACAAAAAAATGTTTTATAACTCTTTGAAACTCACCCCTTTAGGATTTGATCCAAGTTCCATGTGCGGTTTTGGTGACTGTCGCTTTAAATTCAATTGAGATTGTGCTCCCAGCCCTATTTTGGAATTAGGGCAGGGCTGAAAATGCCTATGCATCAGCATAGCAGCAGATTAAAACTGCTGCTTCTCACTCAGGGCTGTTCATGCTAATAAACACTAATGTGCGAAGCATTAAATCTGTTGACATGCACAAAGGAGAAACGCGTGATTATAAAAAAAATACCAGAGGTTGGCTATATTCACAGACTTTTGCCACACAACTGTGCTTAAATATCTTATGAAAGTGATTTTTGGATAATAGGTCTCCTTTAAAACATGTCAAGTGAAGTCCTTTGGTTAAAAGTTGACAACTTAAAAAAAGCTGTGCCGCAAGTTGCCTTACAATTTTGAGATCCGTCAACTTATAAATAATAATAATAATAATATTCGACAAAATGATTTGGCAGTTGGTAACTATTTTATGTTTTGGCGAATTGGTGCCTTTTTTTTTCATGCATACAAATCAGCCACTAATTTACCAAAACTTAAAATAGATAGATTTTCTTTACATGCAATCGGGTTGGACTGTTTTGGAATGCTTTGTCAACATTCAAACATCCATGTTTCTCAATATTCTAAGTAGAATATTCGACAGAATTATTTCAGTTTGTAACTATTTTACATTTTGGCGAATTTCTGGCTTTTCCTCTCTTAAAAAACATACAAATGAGGACAAATGAACTAAATCTAATCAGTGTCTAATTCGCCAAAATTATAAAACATATTGATTCTCCATGCATTCAGAAAGTTTTCAAAAGTTGGAGCTCCAACATTCAAACTTCCACGTTCCTCAATATTCTTAATGCATTCTAATTAGAACACAATCATTGGGCAGTTGGTAACTATTCTACATTTTGACGAACTGGTTGTTAATTTGCATAAATTCTCACAAACCAGTTTAAATTTTTTATTAGATTATTTTTTAATGCACACAATTGAGGTTGTATAAAATAATACAAATCATTCACTAATTCGCCAAAACTTCAAATAGACATTAGTTTTTGTCCATGCAGTCGGGTTGGGATGTTTTGGAATGTTGGCGCTCCATGAGAAAAGAACATGTACCTGGTCGTTTAGTGTTTATGGTCCTGAATCACTTCTCTGAAGATGGCTTTCATAATCTGATGACTGAGTTGTCATGGCTTTGACCTGTTTGATTTGAGAAGATTTAGTGATGTTCTGCCTGGGCTGTTTACTCTGATAACCCTGACATTTATGACTGTAACCATTGAGCCTTCCCGCTTTAGTCGTAGTATGAGAGAGGCAGAATAATTGCAGCAGCAGAGTGCTGGGATCTCAATGAAAGTTCAAAATATAATGCAAACAAGAATTGCCTGCATCAACTTACTTCTCCAACAGCTGTAAATAATCTGCCAGATATGAGGGTCAAAGACGAGATGTTCTATTTTGGTGTCCGTGTCCGCATCAGCTTTTATTGTTTGCTTCAATAAGTTTAGTGAAAACAGTGCCTGATAAGATTATTAGCCCTCATGCGAAATTGTAATTATTTTTCAAATGTTTCTAAAGTGATGCTTAACAGAGCAGGGATTTATTTCCGTATTTCCTATTACACTACCTGACTAAAGTCTTGTCGCCTATCCAAGTTTTAGAAAATAACAAATGATAACTCCTAGTTGATCATTTGGTATCAGAAGTGGCTTATATGAAAGGCAAAGGCCTCTAGATTACGCTTATTTACCAAAAAAAAAATCTGATCATGACTTGATTTTTAATTATTTCATCAGGACAGTAAGGTCTGACTTTGCTTAGACCAAAATCTTGTCACTTAACAGAAATAATGTCCAGTATAGAATATAAAGTCATGCTGCAGTGGAGACAGAATGAATATTGTGTCTGACTCACATGAGCTTGGAGGACTAGATCCATACATCTCTGCAATGACTCATCATTTATTAATAAAGTCATCTGTAATGGCAAAGAAAGTGTTCTTGCAGGACTCCTAGAGTTCATCAAGAGTTTTTGGATTCATCTTCAATGCCGCCGCCTCCATGCTCAATAATGTTCATGTCTGGTGACTGGGCTGGCCAATCCTGGAGCACCTTGACCTTCCTTGCTTTCCAGAACTTTGCTGTGGAGGCTGAAGTATGAGATGGAGCGCTATCCTGCTGAAGAGTTTGCCCTCTCCTGTGGTTTGTAATGTAATGGGCAGCACAAATGTCTTGATACCTCATGCTGTTGATGTCATCATCCACTCTGCAGATCTCTCAACCTCCCTCATACTGAATGTAAACCCAAACCATGATTTTTCTTTCACCAAACTTGACTGATTTGTGTGAGAATCTTTGGGTTCCAGTAGATGATTCATCTGAAATATCTAACTTCCTCTTCTCTTTTCCAAATGATCAACTACAATTCAAGTTATTATTTGTTGCTCTCACTACTGGGATTGACGACAAGACTTTAGTCAGGTAATGTGTGTGTGTGTGTGTGTATATATATATATATATATATATATGTATATTTTATTATTATTTTTTTTTACCTTTTTATTCCAGCCAAACTAAAAGAACCCCCTTGATACATTTTTTTCCGATTAGTTACAGTACAAACTACTGTTGTTCAATAACTTGCCTAACAATTCATTATTTGCTGTAATACTTAAATTTAAACAATCTATTTTTAATACATTTTAAATTAATAAAAATCATCTTGCTCACAAATGGGTCAAATGTAGCACTTTTGAAGGTTAGTTAATAGTTAATCTGACAATTAATGAGTATTTTGTGGCTACACTGATCCTTAAATATATTTTCAATGATCTTAGAGTCAGTTTTAAACTAAGTTTTATATTAGTAAATCTTTTTGTATGCTGACTGTTAGTTGTTAGTACTCTAAATCAGTGTTTCCCACCCCTGTTCCTGAAGGCACACCAGCAGCACACATTTTCAACCTCTCCCTAGTGGTTCCAGTGGTTCCCTGGATCGCGGGACAATGACAGAGGTCGCTTGGTGATTTCCAAAAGTCGAATACATTTTATTAAAAACTATAAGAACGACCATATTTTATCCATAACCCACAGGAGATAGTAGTAGTTAATAGTTACATAACAACAACAACATGCTAATGAAAAACCTTCAGTCTGTCAATTATTCTTTTTTTAAAGGATTGGTTTGTTTACGTTAGATTACGTGATTTTATCCCACCAGGTTAAACTTTCCGACACCTTTATGGCAATCGAATACATTAAAACGAAATACAGGCCAAAACTGAACATTGAGAATGGTCTCTGAGTTGTGGTCTTCAAAATTAAACCAAGAATAGACTTGTGCCGAAAACACTGTGACCGCCAGTCTTTTAGCTGAGGTTAATATTAAACTAAACAAATGAATAAATGACTAAGTAAATTATACAGTTGTTAGACTTTTTTGTGTTGTCAATATGCTCATGTTAATATAGACCTCTTGTTGTGCGCAAAATGTTTGTAATTATATTTTACACCTCAGAGAAATTTGGGTGTTGCGAGTCACTGGCATTGTTATTTTGGGGGTCGCAGGCTGAAAGTTTGGGAACATTAGAAAAGTCTCCAAAACTTGAAATGAATGAGTCTGATAAGAGAGAAAGAAAATATGTTCTGTTGATGTGCCTCAAGGTACAGGGTTGGGAAACACTGCTGACATTTTAAGCTTTAAATTGTGGTAAAATACATGATGGTCATCATTCTGTTCATTGTTTTATAACAAAAAAGTAAAAGTCTTTTGGTCTTTGACCCAAAACTAATATACACTCACCGGCCACTTTATTAGGTACACCTTACTAGTACAGGGTTGGACCTCCTTTTGCTTTCAGAACTGCCTTAATCCTTCATGGCATAGATTCAACAAGGTACTGGAAATATTCCACAGAGGTTTTGCTCCATATTGACATGATAGCATCACGCAGTTGCTGCAGATTTGTCAGCTGCACATCCATGATGCGAATCTCCCGTTCCACCATACCCCAAAGGTGCTCTATTGGATTGAGTTCGGGTGACTGTGGAGGCCATGTGAGTACAGTGAACTCATTGTCATGTTCAGGTAGGCTGTGGCGTTGCTCAATTGGTACTAATGGGCCCAAATTGTGCCAAGAAAATATCCCTTCATCATTACATCACCACCACTAGACTGTTGATTCTGAAGGAGATATTTTTTCGATATTATTTATTCCAACCCAGGCTCATTGTGGAAATGTAGCCCCGCACGTTTCTGGAGGCCGCGAAATACGTATTTGTGCGGCTTTTCGCATCTCGAACGCCTCTCGGGAATGCACGCCTTTCATGCCCGCGCTGTTCTCGCGCGAAAAGCCGCCGGAGGCTGCTGTCAACCGACCATCTGTCCCAAGCTCGTTTGCTTTTATTTTTTAGATTCTGTTTTTCATCTTACCTGATTTCTGAAACCGCTCTTCCCCGGACTTAAACCCGGTCATCGTCGCTGCGGCCGGCTCCTCCTTCTCTGGGCCTCCGCTCCGCCAACGTAACACTGCGAGCTGAGCGAACAAACTGGTTGCAGCGGGAAAGCCCTCCACACGGAGGTGAGCCATCACAGCCGGCGAGCGTGAAGAAGAGAAGCGGCATCACCCCACCCCTCAGCGTTCGCTTGAAAAAAACTAAATGTGGCCATACGTACCGCCGGCCACGTACACCGCAGTCTCCAGAAACTGGGCTAAGTTTTCAAAATGAGCCTGGGTTGATTTATTCTCTCATTTAAAAAAGTATACAGTAAAACATGAGCCAGCCTAAGGTGGGTATTTGTAAAATGAGCCCACAGATGTGCTGAACAACACTAGGAGAAGGCTATGCTGAAGAATGTCTAATTATGTAGAATAACTGAATATGTAAAGCACTCATTATAAATGTTAAATACTCATATGAAGCTATATTTCAGAAGCTAGAGTGAGTGACATTATCAAGTTATTATGCTATCATGACAATGTATGTAAACACTTAGTTCTTTTGCATAAGTTTCATCTATGCTCTGCTGACGTAGACCTGTGACATCTCTGGTGACCTTAGCAAGCTGGCAGAGAGCCAAGAATAACAGGACCACTTAGAGCACAGGTGTCAAACTCAGTTCCAAAAGGGCCGCAGCTCTGCACAGTTTAGTTCCAACCCTAATTAAACACACCTGATCAAACTAATTGAGTCCTTCAGGCTTGTTTGAAACCTACAGGTAAGTGTGTTGGAGCAGGGTTGGAACTAAACTGTGCAGGGCTTCGGCCCTACAGGAATTGAGTTTGACACCCCTGACTTAGAGTAAAAACTTATCCAAGGATGGTCAAAAGTTTAACCGAGACCACCTGGGGGTGTGGCACAGAAACTGTATAAAGATTGTGAAAAACACAGACACTCTAGAAATTGTCCAGGAGAGACTTCAGAATGCTCTGAGGTCTGCTCTGCACTTTCTTGGCTTTACATTTACTTTTACATTTAGTCATTTATTATGGAGAATAAAGTCTATTTTCCTGGTATCCAAAAAGCTCCAGTGTGATAGTGCCTCATTGATGAAAAGGTCGGCAACTATGACAAATATAAGAAGGCTGGTAAAAACAACAATTCAAGGCAGGATGAATCTATGCTTTTATGTTGTTGCTGCCAAATTCTGAACCTATCATCCCAATGTCAGAGCAGAAGTGAAGCAGGCAACATTTCTTGCGCCACTCACTGGATATTTTCTCTTTTTCAGACCATTCTCTGTAAACCCTAGAGATGGTTGTGCGTGAAAATCCCAGCAGATCAGCAGTTTCTGAAATACTCAGACCAGCCTGTCTGGCACCTACAACCATGCCACATTCAAAGTCACTTAAATCCCCTTTCTTTCCCATTCTGATGCTCGGTTTGAACTGCAGCAGATCGTCTTGACCATGTCTACATTCCTAAATGCATTGAGTTGCTGCCATGTGATTGGCTGATTAGAAATATGCGTTAATGAGCAGTTGGACAGGTGTACCTAATAAAGTGGCCAGTGGTTGTATATATGTTATTGTAATGTTATTTAAGCATTATTTAGATTCAAATTTACACAACACCGATTGTTATCTTTAAAAAATATGAACATCAACACACTTTTATAAAGAATTAAAAGATGTAATGTGTGTTTTTAACAAATATATTATTAAAATATTCAGAATTAAAGCACCTTACTTGATAGCTCTGGACGTGGTCATTATAATCGAAGCTTCTCGGAGGAAAGAACGGCTCCTGATGGTTCCTGCTAATCCGAGCGCGGTTGGGATGTTCATCGCTGACCCCGTTGACCCTGTGGATGCACAAGACCTTCTGGAAGCTCCTCTTGAAGTTGTCCGACAGAAATCCGTAGAGCAGCGGATTGGCGCAGCTATTAACGTATGTCAGGATCACCGTGAGGAAATAAACGCCGGTGATGATGTTATTTTCTGGAAGGGTGACCACCAGATTGAAGATGTTCAGCATGAAGAACGGCAGCCAGCAAATTACGAACACAACAACGATGATCACCACCATTCTAGTCACTTTCTTCTCAGATTTACGGCGCTTTGAGAGTCCGGCTCGTGCGCTGGCGGATTTAACTTTGATCACGATTAGCAGGTAGCATAGACAAATAACTAGCAGTGGGCAGAAGAATCCCAATATGGCGGTGTAGAGGATGAAAGCTGTGGACCAAACGTCACGAGGCTCAGGCCAGCTCAGGTTGCAGGTGTTGAGTCCCGGCTGGACGTCACAATAAATAATGACTGGCAGCGTTAGCAGACACGAAAGGGCCCATACCATGCTATTTATAACCTTGGCAACGCTGGGTCTCCGCCACCTGGCACTACGGATAGGATGCACCACAGCCATGTAGCGATCAATGCTCATTACTGTCAGGCAGAATGTGCTGGTGAACTGACTGATGGAGTCGGCCCACATCAGGATACGGCAGAGGAAGTTTCCGAAGGGCCAGTAAGAGAGCACATTGTGGGTGGTGAGAAACGGGAGTCCCAGAATGTACAGCTCATCAGCCACGGCTAGATTTAAGATGTACATGTTGGTGACCGTCTTCATTTTGGTGTAGCGGAGAACTACAAAAATGGCCAGAGAGTTTCCTGTCAGACCCACGATGAACACCACGAGGTAGATCACAGCCAGGGCTTTAGTGCTTTCTTCTTCAGCCAGCAGATTTTCATTAGGGTCACTGGAGGAATTGGTGGTTTGGTTTGAGAGGGATGTGTTGTATATCGGCTCTTGGGTTGCCATGTTTGGATAAAGGCGCAAATGTGGTCACCAGGGGGGCTGAAAGCAAAATGAGAACGCAATGGTGTTATCATCTCAAGTGTAAAAAGGTTCAATTGGAATTGCATGCTTGTGCGCACACTGTGTGATTGAAAAATCCTTTGGAGAATGGCTTTATCTGTTTTGTTGACATTCCTTTGAGACGTAATTCATTCAGCATACACATCAACACTGGCAATCTTTACAACACAATGCATTGCTCTGTTTTACTGATTTTTCTTATTGTGTTTTACCAACCTATTTTCATTTTGAAAATGCACCCCTATATACATTTTTGGAGAGCACCAAATACATCCCAGGAGGTATGTTTTTTTTTTTTTTTTTTTTTGCAGTTCTTGTTTTCACGAATCCACCAGAGGCTGTTGTATATGCTTGATCAGATCTCAGATTTGTCTCGTGATTGCCATTCGCGCCTGCTCTTTTTGCATAAATCCACCAAAGGCTGCTGTTGACTGACTGACTTACCGATCGACTGACCCAAATTCCTCCTTCCATAAACCCAACCTATAGTGTTTTGAAAAGCACTGATTGACCCACCCACCCACTTCCCTAAACCCAACTGACCGTTTTAAAAAGCAATCCAGAAAAAGAAAAGCCCTCACGGCCACCTGATTTTTACCATGTTTTCAGAGTTTACCGCATTCTCACCCTGTTATTTACTAGTTTATTTTAGTTTTTGGATTCAGTTTTATTTTTTAACCCGCTTTCTGGAACTGTTCTTCACCAGACTCGAACCTCATTGTCGTGGTCAACTCCTCTGCATCTCAAATCCACCGACGTACATGGTGAGCTACTGGGCAAACTGGTAACAATGGTAAAGCCGTCCATATGGAGGTAAGTGGTTAGCTGGTAAGCGTGAAAAGGAATGGCGTCATACCACCCTGTAGCATTAATTTTAAAGACTAAAAGCAGCCATACGTACTTCTGGCTACATAATTCGTGATCTCCAGAAATGTATACAGAACTATATTTTTCAGAATGAGCCCATGTTGGTTTTTACGTTTGTAGCTCAGTTTGTAATTTGTAGTTTGGTCTAGACCAAAATAAAAAATGCAGAATAATATGGTCACACTTTACAATAAGGTTCATTAGTTAATTAATAAATGTTAATTATTGCATTTACTAACATAAACAAAAAATGAACAATACATTTACTACAGTATTTATTCATGTTTGTAAACATTAGTTAATGAAAATACAGTAGTTCATGGTTAGTTTGTTAACTCACGGTGCATTAACTAATGTTAACAAGCATGGACTTGAATGTTAATAATACATTAGTAAATGTTCAATTATGATTAATGAATGCTGTACATGTGTTGTTCATGATTAGTTCATGTTAGTAAATGCATTTACTAAGGATCCTTATGGTAAGGTGTTACCAATAATATATTAAGTAATGGATCGTCATTTTTTAAAGGGATGGTTAACAACAAAATGAAAATGACCTCATTTACTCTCTCTTTCTTTGTCTCATGGTTTTAAACCTTTTCTTTCTTCTACAAAAGAAGATATTTTTACGAATTATGGTTGCCATAGTAAAAATAAATAAATAAATACTATGGTCAGTGGGACCATCAACCAGAATTCCTAAAAATATCTTCATTTGTGTTCAACAGAAGTAAAAGTAACACACATCATTTTTAAAGAAGTGACGTGTCATTTTTAGGTGAACTATCTCTTTAACCCACAGTTTTGTGCACTTGAAAACAGCTTTTAATACTGTTTAAGTTGACATTTTGTTTATTGGATTGATTATTTAAGTTTATTATTATTGAGCACCTAGTCTTGTGGATGAAGGATTTTGACTGATCTTCCTCGAAGGGTGTCTGTACAGGGTTCAATATTTGAAGATGTTGTTTCGAACGTTGGAGTACCCCAAGGCTGTGTGATTACCTGCATTATTTCTGATGTATATAAGTGAAATTCTGAAAGCAATTTTACCCTACACAAGTTTGCTGATGACATGGCCATGGTTGGACTTATGGTCGAAGGACAAGAGGAGCTATAGAGGTCCTACTTTAAGCACAGAACATCTGGTGACATGGTGCTTTGTCACTAAATGCTTTGGAAACCAAGGAGCTAATTATTAGTAAAGAAGGGCAGCCTAAATGTCACTCAGTTATTATTGAAAGTCAACACATTGAGATTGTAAACAGTTTTAGGTTCTTATTATGTTAGATAGTACTTTATTATTTGTTAAACATACAGACTTCATCTATAAGAAGGCAGCACAGAGACTCTTTTAAGGACATTAAATAGTTTTCATGTTAGTAAGGGTATTCTGAGGAAGGTCTATATAGCAGTCTGCTTGAAAGGATTATCTCCTGTTGTATTTCTTGCTGGTATGGAAATCTAGGGGCTAGAAGCAAGACCAAAAACTTAAAGAAATTGTTAGCACAGCTTGTAAGATCATACAGGACCCCCAGAAGCAGCTTGTGGAACTGTATGCAAACCAGACTAGACTTAAAACCCTATAGATCAGGACTCTACTTGTCCTCTTCATTATGAATTTGAAAAGCTTCCTTCAGAGGCAACAGAGTACCCACAGAAATGACTCATATTTTTAGGAAATCGTTTACCGTCTGCTATTATTATATTGAACTAATGTCCATGCAGTAGTTTAGATGTTATTCTGTGACTGAATCTGTGGTTTTATAGCAGGGTTGTGTGTTGGTATATATCTATAGGAACCTTTGTGTTTGTGCTTTGCGGTTGTGTTTTGTATTTGTGATGTTTAGTAACATTTAATGAGGCCAAAGACGAATTTCCACATGTGTGGACAATAAAGACATTGAAGTTTTAGACAAAACCAGCATAAGAAGGCTTTTAAGACATCTTGTGACTGAAAACAATTGGGGCTAAACATGTTTCTTTATGATGGTATTGAATGAAAACCCATGAAAACTTTATAAAATATGTAAAGTGGCCAGAACACTGCTAAGAATTCCTCGGTTACAATGAAGAGTCATATTGTGAACTCGTGTCTTGTTTTTGAGCGTTTGACTCTGGATTTGTATTTCACACCCACCATAGTTTGTTTGCAAATGAACTTGGACCCATATTTTAGCAGCGTTCTGTCTGCTTGTTTGGTGTGCACCACTAAAGTACAGATTGCAGCGTTCACACCCACTCAAATGAACTGTGCTGACAAAGCAAATGCATTAGAGTTCGTTTCAATTGAACCAAATATGTGAAAACACCTCTAGAGTGCAGAGGCAGGACTTTTTAAAATGTAGTCATTATAATGATTTGCATATTTAAATTGATGGAAATTCTGAGAGAACTCTAATACAGATATACAGTTGAAGTCAGAGTTATTAGCCTAACTGAATTATTAATTAATTAATTAAATTAAATTATTAAATAATTAATTATTTTTCCCCAATTTCTGTTTAACGAAGAGAAGATTTCTTCAACACATTTCTAAACATAATAGTTTTAATAACTCATTTCTAATAACTGATTTATTTTATCTTTGCCATGATGACAGTAAATAATATTTGACTAGATATTTTTCAAGACATTTCTGCACAGCTTAAAGTGACATTTAAAGGCTTAACTAGGGTAATTAGGTTAACTAGACAGGTTAGGGTAATTAGGCAAGTTATTGTATAACGATGGTTTGTTCTGTAGACTATCAAGTAAAAAATAGCTTAAAGGGGCTAATAATTTTGTCCTTAAAATGATGTTTAAAAAATTGAAAACTGCTTTTATTCTAGCCGAAATAAAACAAATAAGACTTTTTCTAGAAGAAAAAATATTATCAGACATTCTGTCAAAAATGTCCTTGTTCTGGTAATCACCATTAGGAAAATATTAAAAAAAGAAGACAAAAATTCGAAGGGGGCTAATAATTCTGACTTCAACTGTATATTACACATGGAAATATATTGTAAATGCTAGTGTTTAAGTTTTAAAAGTCCTAAAGACAGACTCAACTAAAATGTTTCAGAATTGTATGTTAATGTCTCTGTATTATCGGTCACCCTGGATCACAAAACCATATGTTGTAAGTGTGGATTTTTGGAAACTGAGATTTTAACATCACCTGAAAGCTGAATGAATAAGTTAACAATCACAGTATTTGGCCAAGATAGAAATATAACTATTGGACAATCTGGAATCTGAGGGTTTGAAAAAGAAAATCTAAATACTGAGAAAATCATCTTTAAAAGTTGTCTGACTTAAGTTCTTATAGAGAAGCATATTACTAACAAAATGACTAAAGGGTTTGCTGCAAACTGAAGGGGGGGCTGGGGTTGTCTCAAACTGAAGAGCGGGAGGTGGGGGCGGTGGGGATGCGGGGGCACTTCATATCATTTCGGAAGGGCACTTTCAATCCAAGACTAAAAAAGGGCATGTGCGCTGTACAGGTTTTGCCCTATGTGTGCACGTGCCGTATTAGTTGTTAATGCTTCCACATTTAAAAGAGTACCCCAACAATTACTGAAGCCCCCAAAATAAGAGGGTCCATTTAATGGCATAACAAGTTGTTGCCCAGTAAATGTTCAGTGGCTGAAAATTTGGTGCATTTCTAATATCAACACACTTTTCGAATTCCCATTGTTGCACATTTCTGCTGTGTGATTGGCTTTTAGATCAATATCAATAGTCCAAAGCTTATTGTTATTGACAATTTTTATCGCGATTTGATCTAATAGCGTTTATCAGCTCAGCCCTACTTTGCAGATTTTATTAGTTCAACATTTACATGTGCTCTTGTTAGTAAATGATAATATTTTCACTCATACTCTCTATTGTCACCTTCTCCGCAGATGTGCAATCTTGGCATATTTCTTGACGCTCAACTTAACAAAAACAATTTACAAAAACAGCTTTCTTTACCCTGCAGAACATTGCACGCATTCGACCCTTTCTTTCATCGCCTGATGCTGAGAGACTTGTCCATTCCTGTATCACATCTTAATTAGATTTTTGTAATTCACTTTTTGGGGGTCTACCAGCTAATGCATTATAAATAAAATGTATTATTATTA